TCTTTCCCTTCTTACTCTCCTCAGCCCTCCCCATCCTCTGACTCCTGCACCTGTCCTTCCCTCCCACCCCCATGTCCACCCCTCCTCTGACCCCACTCTGATCATCTGTAGCTGCCTCTCCAATCCCCTCACGTAACACCTCCGGCCACCCACCTGCCCTGCCTCTCTCTGCTGCCCGTCCCTCCACTCTCCTCTCTGTGTCTGCCCTTCTGCTTCACCCCCCCCCCTAATCCCTTGGCACCTGCACCTTTCCTTGCCCCCTGCATCCTTCTGGTGCTGCCTCCTTCTCTCACTGCCCCTGCCCTCCCAACACCTGCCCCCCTTGCCCTCTTTCTCTCTGGTGCCCACCCCCTCATCACCCTCTGCCCTAGTTCTCCTCACGCCCCTCTGCTCCCTCACACGACTTGTTCCTTCCCCTGCCTTCCTTGTGCCCGTCTCTCCTTTCAAACCCTCTTCTCCTGACACCCACTCCTCCCCTCTCCTCTTCCTTCCTATTGCCCCTCCCCTTTCTTCTTCTTGTGTAACCCTGTCCCCTCCCTTTTCCTAGCCCCACTGGCACCTTCCCATTCCCTGCCCCATTCCTCCTGCCCTTTCCCCTCATTGTCTTCTCTTCTCCCCCTGGCATTTGTCTCTCCTCCACCCTTCCCCTTGGTGCCTTCCCCTTTCTTCTCCTGCCCTGCCCTCCTCCTCTCCCCTCAGCACAAGCCCCTTCCTTTTCGCACCCCAGCTTCCACTTCGTTCTCCTTCTGCGCCTTCCCTCACCTTCTGCCTTCCTGACACCTTCACCACTCAGTCCCCTCTAGGCCCCCTGGTACCAGGGTGGGGCAGGATGGCGGGAGGTTGCCCTGTGGGCTGGGGCTGGATCTGGGGCCGAAGTGCTATTTTTAGTACCCTGGCACCAACCCAGGAGCAGCTGCACCATGGCCCCAGCTCCAGTCCCGGCACACTGGGCACCTGCCCGCCACGCAGTCCAGCTTCGGGAGCGGCTGGAGCCAGGGTTGCATGACGTTTTGTGGGGCCAGGACCCCACAGTATTAAAAATAGCACCACAGCCATAGCTCCAGTCCTGGTACATGGGGCGTGGTCATGTGGCGGGCACCTGCCTCGTGTGCCGGGACTAGAGCCGAGACCATGGTGCAGCTGCTCCTGGGCCGGTGCATAGTGCAATTTTTAACATTGTGGCCGTGACTCAAACTCTGGCAGCCACCACAGCTCTGGGGAAGGGCTGAAGCTAAGGCCAGGGCCACATGGTGACTGTCCAGCTGCTCCTAGGGCAGAGCAGCCCCCCGCCACTGTGCAGCTCTGCTAAGGAGGTGGGTGGGAGTCAAATTGTTGGTGAGTGCCCACGCAGGCATGCACCTTAAAGGGAACTAGCAGGCATGCATCTTAGAGGGAACTATGGGGGGGGGGGGTTATGACCCCATTACAAAGCTGGCGTTAGAATTGCCGGAGCTAAGGGCTGAAGCCAAATTCAAAGGGCTTCAGGTCTGGGTGATGGGGCTCAGGTTACAGCCACCCCACTTGGGGCTAAAGACCTTCGATAGGCCCCCCAGATATGCACTCCCAGTGCAGTGGGACTTGGGCTCTGATTTGGGCCCCCCCTTCCCCTCCCGGTTCCAGGCCGCTCTAGTAATTTTTGTTGCCAAAAGAGGTCACGATGCAATGACATTTGAGAGCTACTGGGTAACTTAAAGGAAAAGTGTCAAGCTGATGCTTTGAGAGGTTTAATACTTGATTTAAAAGGAAGTTGGACATTTCAGCTGCTGTTGAGATATCTTAAGTGGCAACCTTAAAAATGTTGGCATGTTGAAACTGAGACAATTCTTCCACCAACCTATTAAAATCTAGGCCATTCTGGGTATGCTGCTATCTTGGACTGCCTCTGTGATAGGGTTTCCAAGTGTAAGGGATATGCTGATGGAACACTGTGTAAGAATTTCATTATATAAATCTCATTAACATTTAAGGCATACAAATAAATTTGTGCTGAAATTAATTTTTAAGACTATATAAGGTAAGACTTCCAATGCCATATTTGTTCTTTTCATTTAAATATATTACTTAATCCAATTTTCGCCTGCAGGGTCTTAGTTATTTGTTGGAAGGCAGAAGAAGTTGCCAAATCCATGCAGGAAATTCTTCAGAAATATGTTTCACATAGTGTGATCATGAGAATTAACCTCTTAATATTAATGTGGTTCTGTATTTGTTGTAAATTTGATTCTATTTTTACTACTACATGCATGGAGGAAGCCAACTTCATAATGGAAGACTTTAAGCAAATGTCTTTCCTTTTTCTTCAGGTGGGTAATATAACTACCTCCCCAAAGGTGGAAAGCCAAGATCAACCAGAGAATGCAACTGGGGCAGAAAAAGCACTGAATATAAAGGTAAACAAGAGAAATCTAAAATCATGTTGATGAGTAGATCATGCAATTAGTCATTTCCAATCATATTTATTTGGGTCAGTCAGATACTAATTATATTTTCAAAGACAATGAAGTAGCAAAGTAACTTTCCCACAACATTGTATTAGCAAAAAAAGATTTATGATGGAACAAAATTAGTAATAGGGTCAGACTCTGTCATCTTGAAATCTATGAAAGTGTGCACATGATTCAAGCTGCAGGATCCAGATGCCCAGTAACTACATCTCCCTCTGCAACTTGCAAGGTAGCTGCACTCAACAGGAATATTGCAACTTGAGGAGACTCAGAGGAGCCAGAGACTTGGCAGACAGCCTTTGGCACATCAACATTTTACTAATAGAGAGCAGGACAAACATGGCATGTTTTATGGCTCAGCAAAAACCTTCCCTCAAGTAACAAACTTGAAAGACTAAGTGGGAGCATCTCTAATAGACAAACAAAACAACACTCTGATTATGCAGCAAGAGCTGAACTGTGGAGGCTGGGGAGTTATTTCTGGAAAAGAGTTCATTCCTTTGTGTCCAGTATATAAACGGTGAAGGGTGCATAGATGCACAAGAAATGCTTGTGCACTGGTTTAAAAAACAACAAGCCTGTAATATTCGGAGTGGTATTTGCTATAGAACAAATGCCTTCAGTAACCATGTTTTTGTAACTCTTGTGTAATCTTGATTTATATGCCCAGTCTGTGAGATAAGGGCCAGAGAATGGATAGACTGAGCAAAAAGTGTGAAGGGGAGAGTGTGGTAAAATTTAAAAGGGGTTTAGATCAGTGTTCCCTGTAAGATGAGTGCTTGGGTGGCCACCCAGGAGAGATGCAGTGTGCCCACAGCCAGTAAGATGTTTCTTTTGGTGGTGCACATCTGCATTTGCCTAGGTGCACATAACATTTATTCTGCACATGATTAGAAAAAATAGAGGGAATGCTGTTGTAGATGGCTGAAATAATTCCTAAGACATCCTAAGATTCAGTGAGTTGATTTAACTTATGAACAAGATCTCAAGTTCAGTTGTGCGTGTGGTGGTTGGATTTTAGTACATGGCTTAAATCCTATGTTCATTGTAAGAAAATTAACAAAATAGGTCCCATGTGACAAATGAACTCTCTCTAAAAGGTTTTTCAGTTCATTTGACAGGAATTTGGTAATTTATAACTTCTGAATCCCACCACGACAATCAGCGATGCATGAGCACTTATAAAATAAGCAGTTGAAACCTTCCTGTGCAGCTCAACTAATGTGTCAAAAGCTTGCTCCATGGCACATTGGGAAAATGTAGTAAACAAAGATTTTAGTCCACATTAGACACTTTACATTTAGATACATAATAGTAGTAAATAAAGATTGATTTTGTTTAGAAATAGATAATGTAAGAAGTATTTTTTGCCTGTTCTTTTAGATCCAAGTTCTGGTATTAGAGCCTGTGTAGTACAGGCAGTCCCCGACTTACGCGGATCCGACTTATGTCGGATTCGCACTTACAAACGGAGCTTTCTCGCCCCGGAAGTCGGGGCGAGAAAGCCCCATTCGTAAGCTGCTCCGGTGCCCCTGGTCTGCTGGAGACCGTCTCCAGCAGACCAGGGGCACCGGGCGAGTTCCCGCGCTTCTGAGGCTTTGCTAGAGCAAAGCCTCAGAAGCGCGGGAACCGCTGCTGCTGCCCCTTGAGACCCGGTGCCTGTGGTCTGCTGGGGACGGGCCCCAGCAGACCACAGGCACCCAGACTGGAGCGGCAGGAGGCGGGGGGGGGCCCGCCCGCCC